TCTTTTTATAATCATCACGTGTTTCAGACCCTCCCCTTCCCCCCGACAACTACCAACATTCTCATCCAATTCAATTCTTCCTTGGGTTGTAATATTGCTCTCTTCCCACGTCCAGTCCACTTCAGTTCGCTGACCCCCAGAATGTCTATCTTTAGTCTTGACATCTCGCCAATAACAACACCCAATTTGCCCTGGCTCATAGATCTTACATTCCAGGTTCCTATGGTGTGTTGATCTTTAGAGCATCGGATTCGTCGTTCACCTCCAGTACCGTCGGCCGCTAGCCTTCCTTTCGGCTTTGAGCTAGCTGCGTCATCACATTTGGGGCTAGTTGAACTTATCCTCTGCTCCTCCCCAGTAGCATTTTGGCCATCTTCCGACCTGGGAGTCCCATCTTCCAATGGCATACCGACATATCTCTGGTTGTACTGGTCCATTTAGTTTTCTTGGCAAGGATACTGGAGTGGTTTGCCATTGCCTTCCCCAGGGATCACGCTTGGTCTGACCTCTCTGCCACAACCGTCCCGTCTTGGGTGTCCCTTCACGGTTTCGCTCATGACATCATTGAGGTGCTCAAGCTCCAGCGCCCCGACAAGGCGGTGATCCTTTGCTGGAGAATATTACAATATATTTTATAATATATAGTGGTCCTGCTGGTTCTGCTGGACCTCTCATTGGCCTTTGATACTGTTGACCATGGTAACCTTCTGGGACACCTCATGGGAATGTGACTTGGAGGTACTGTTCTGCAGTGGCTTCAGTCCTTCATGGAGTGTTGCTCCCAGAAGGTGTTGTTGGGAGACACCTGCTCAACCCCGTGGTCATTGTCTTGTGGAGTCCCGCAGGGCTCGGTATTATCTCCCATGTTGTTTAACATCTGCATGAAACTGTTGGAAGAGATCATCTGGAGTTTTGGAGTTCTATGTCATCTGTACACAGATGATGTTCAATTCTATCACCCATTTCCACCTGCTACTAAGGAGGCTGTTCAAGTCCTGAACTGGTGCTTTACAGCTGTGACAGTCTGGATGAGGGCGAACAAATTGAAATCGAATCCAGACAAGACAGCGCTCTTCCTGGTCAGTCGTAACGCCAAACAGGGTATAGGGTTTCAGCCTTTGCTGGATGGGGTTACACTCCCTCTGAAGGCGCAGGTTTTCACTTGGGAGTGATCCTAGACTTATCGCTGAGCCTGGAACTCCAGGTCTCGGCAGTGGTCAGGGGAGCTTTTGCACAACTAAAACTTGTGTGCCAGCTGCACCCGAATCTTGAGAAGTCTGACTTGGCCGTGGTAGTCTATGCTGTTGCTACATCCTAAATAGATTACTTCAATGGGCTTTATGTGGGGTTGCCTTTATGTGGGGAAGACTGCTTGGAAGCTCCAGTTAGTCCAACAGGTGGCAGCCAGATTGCTCACCTGAGCGAGGTACAGGAAACATACAACCCCCCTGTTATGCCAGCTCCATTGGCTGGCTGGCTGCCTGCTACTGAGCACAATTCAAGGTGCTGGTTTTAGCCTATAAAGCCCTAAATGATTTTGGTCCAGTTTACCTGTCTGAACATATCTCTCTCTACAATCCACCTCAGAAGTTAAGATCATCTGGGGAGGCACTGCTCTTGATCCCGCCACCTTTGCAAGCATGATTGGTGGGGGTGAGAGACAGAGCCTTCTCAGTGAGGGCCCCTTGTCTATAGAACTCCCTCCTCAATGGAATCAGGTCAGCTCCCTCCCTCTTGTCTTTCAGGAAGAATCCCAATTTACCAGTCCAAATGTATTTCCCTCTACAAACCACCGAAAACATTAAGATCATCCAGGGAAGCCCTGCTCTCGGTCCCACCTTCTTCACAGGTGCAATTGGTGGGGATAAGAGACAGTGTCTTCTCTGTAATGGCCCCTTGACTGTGGAACACCCTCTTCAATGAAATTAGATCTGCCCGCCTCCCTACTGGCCTTTCGTAAAAAATTCAAAACCTGGCTGTAGGATCAAGCATTTGAGCAGTAAATATAGCAATTAGGAAGATATAGTTTTTAAGTGACCAGCAATGGACTGATCTGGACCATAATTCTGAATTTGTGGATTGTTTTTAAATTGAATGTTCATAATTGTTTAATTGCTGTTTTAATTGTAATATTTTAATTATATATTTGTTGCCTGTTGTAAGCTGTCCTGAGTCCCCCTCCAGGGGTGAGTAGGACAGGGTGTAAATGCCTTAAATAAATAAATAAATAACTTTATTCACTATTTTACATATTGGACATTAACCTTTCTTCTCCCTCCCTGACATTTCTTTCCAAAGCAGTACAAAAACTAATAAATTATATTATTATTCTGTTGTTATATATTTTGTTTAAGCACATATGTAGATTTCAAGATTATGCATGAGCAAATTATTTGATGATTGGTTGAGTGGGGAGAGTTAGGGATTTGACAGGGTATTTTAATTATTAGGTAGAGCAGTCAAATTATAATTAAACTGTAATTGGCTTTGATAGGAGCTGCAGAGTCTTTTTTTCATCTTAACAGTATATGCAAATAACCTTGTATGAGTTCGGATGAGGACAACATGCCAGCTTCTATTAGAAAAGCTTCTTTACACACAACCTCAAATTCCATCTACAAGCTGATTTATAGAATTAAATTGCATAGATAATACTATTCTTACTGAATTAAACCTCCCCATGCTATTCTGCATCAAATTGGCTAGATAACAGTGGCACCAATCCCACATCCTTTTATACATTGAAATGTTGTGTGAACAGGTGACAGGTTATTCCTAATTTTTTGGACTATCTATGAATGGTTTCCCAGAATACTATAGTATGAAATAATTTTCATATTCAACTGCTTATGAGCAGAAGAAATTTTGTGATGAATTTGCACCAACTTACTCCTATAAATTCTCTTGTTGATTTTCAGAACTTTCTTATGCCTGGATCTTCAATGAATACCCTTCTTTTGTACAAGAAGATAGCCGACGATTTGTTTCTCAGGAAACCGGCCACCTCTACATAGCCAAAGTTGAGTCATCTGATGTAGGCAATTACACATGTGTTGTGACAAGTACAATAACAAACTCCCACAGTCTTGGCTCGCCAACACCCTTAGTACTGCGTACTGATGGTAGGTTTATCCTTTTCTGTATTGCAATCATATATGATTTGAATGTTTTAAAAATAATGCTATTGTTTCATGCATAATTTTGTGGAACAGTTTCATTGCTAGAATGTGTCCTTCTTTGCCTTGTAAAGATGCAGGTTTTGAATATATAATGATAATGAAGTGTACATGTAAAAAACATGTTTTTACTATGAAATTGCAATCTGTTCAGGTGATGGAGGGGTAATTTAAAGTGGAGGAAGCCAATGACTCATACTAACCAGGACAAAAGGTGGGGAGCAAGTGATTGGAGGAGAAATTAATGTAATGTGGAACTGGTGTATTTTCCATTGCATGTAAAGGGTCAGAAAATCAGCATTCCTTCCTTCTCTGCCTACACATATAGAGAGAAAAATACAACATCCAATGGGTCTTGCAATAACCTATTTATCACTCTGCATTTATGGTGGTAGTCATTCTACATATATGAACAAGATAAAAAAGAGAGCTCATGGTTATAGGTATACTGAGGGTGCCATATGAGTGTGAGTGCAAGACAGGAGACAGTGGTAATGTGATTTAAAAGGAAAGAAGACTCAAAACTATTTTTGGTTAATTTCTACATTACATTCTCTTATACTGAGAAACACCAGTACTGGAATCAAAGTCACGCCAGTCCACACTTTGGAAAAGATTTGATACTACTATAATCTTTAATTACTGGTATATATATTTTCTAATAAGTAACTATTTTGAAGTGTTTTAAAAGTAATAAAAACATTATTATTTTTTACATTTTGAAAACATCTGAATGTCAAAAGCAGTTAGCCTTTGTGACCGAATGCATTCTCTTCCCATATAAGGGTCCAGGCTGTTTGTCTAATCGTGTCTCCCTATACAGACCATCCCATGCACTGCAGTCAGTGGAGGAAGCACTTTTCCATCTTTTAGTGAGGCCCCTCTCCTGTAAATATAAAAGTAAACATTTACTATTTTACTGCTCAAGAACAGAATTAATCTTTTGTTGGTTTACTATTAAAATGCAATATAGTTATAACTTATATCCTGGGGGAATCAATTAATTACCAGCAAGCTGTTATTTCCATGTTCTGAATGGGTCCTGCGCAGAATGGTAGATGGCCTCTGTTTGTAAACCAACAAGTTAGGGGATTTTGTATATGAAAGCAGAAATCCAAGCAGCAGTCACTTCAACAGTTACTCAACAGGTTTCCAAGACCTTGGCTTTTTTTTTCTAAGAAAACTTTTCCTTTTCTGGGGCAACAGGTGTAATGGGAGAATATGAACCCAAAATAGAAGTGCAATTTCCTGAAACACTGCCTGCTGCCAAAGGTTCAACTGTAAAATTGGAATGCTTTGCTCTTGGAAAGTAAGTGATTGATTTTTATAAATATTGCAGTTACTTAAAATTAGATTTTAGAATAAATGGAGAGTGTGAAAACTTCGACTTTATTCTGGCATTTATTTGAACATCTAAAATGGGTTAAAATGGGATTAGAGTTAGGGATGGCTGTAAACTCTGCTCTATGCCCCTGAGCGCCTAAGTATAAGTTGCATCTTTGCAAACTGAATACAAAAGACTGAAAAGCATTCCCTAACAACAGGTTATTGAACACAGTTACAGAGCTCCCATTATGTTAAATCCTGATAAGTTTAGGTTTTTGAATGCAGGTGTTTTGTAACTGTGTTTGACCCAACTGCATTATATAGGTCTGAACAGGCCATATAATGCAGTTCTAAATGACATTATATGACAGGGTAGATACAGCCCCAGTTTATAAGACCTCTTCATATCTTTATGGTGAATGTTGAGTTTAATGGCAGGATTTATATGTCTTCTTATGTTGACAACTCTCCTTATGCCTCACATGTGTTGAAGCAAACAGGTGAACATGACTTTTTTTGATATATCATGCCTTAGCTATACTGCAAAGGTATTTGCCTGCCAACCCCCAAAATAATGAGACCACACACCAATATTTGGGTTTAAAAATGGGCAACTTTTATTAATTGTTACCTATTGAATTTTGTCTGGATCTAATTCTATGGATACTGAACGTGGTGGCAAAGCCAAGGTAGTGTCCATCTCCAGCCTACCCCTTGGCTAGTTAGGGTGAGACACCCGGGTCCCTAGGGAACCTAATTGAGGCAACCTCTAAAGGAAATGTGTCGGAGAAGTCCCTCCCAGGGTATCTGAGACCCGACTCTCCCCATTCCTGGGCCATTAGAATTCCCCTCACCTCATCAAATTGAACCTTAAGTGAGTGTTTTAGTTAATGGCCTTCATCCCTGAAGGGGGTACCTTGGGCATACACCAAATTTCAGCTTTTCCTAACTGTTTACTGTGATCACCTATTTAATGCCACACCGTCCCAATTTGCCCTGTAACAGTATAAGGTAGGCGAAAAAAACCCTTTTAGAGAGTAAGAGGGGAAAAGTCATGTTCACCTCTTTGCTTCAACACATGTGAGGCATAAGGAGAGTTGTCAACCTGGCCCCTTAACGGCAACCCTAATATACTGTTTAATAGGCAAGAGTGGTGGGTTGACGCTTGGCTCCAGAATGAAGAGGGGAGGCCAGTGCAGAGGGCTTGGCTCCACTCCCTTCCAAGTAGTTTCACAGGAACTTGTTTTCTCTTCAGGGGAGGAGGCAAATTTCTCCCCCCCCCCCAGCTGCGCCCTGTTGGGAAAGCTTCATAGCGAATGGTAAATTACAGTCATGTTAGATTATGAATTTAAAAACTTGTAACTATCTTGACAAAAGTATTCTTTTTAATGAACCACTTTCTTTTGCACTGTACTTAATTTAAGTCTAAATTTAATCAATATTTTTGTTTATTGCATTTGCTTGAGTTTTTACCAATTAAATAGTCACTTTTATTAAATAACCAAGATCTTCATTCAGTTGTTTTTTTCAGCCAGAGTAGACCTATGGAATAATAAATAAAAGAACCTGGTAGGTCTATATATGCACATTTTATTGATTCTGGTCTATTCTAGTTAGGGCTAACATTGAATTTAGGCCTTTGAGACTTCTGGAGGCCTCTAGGATCTCACAAAACAGAAATTTTGCAGCACAATAAATATATATTTAGAACTATTTAATAAGATGAAAGTTCTGAATTACCAAATACTGTTAATAAACACATAGTAGATCCTCCAAAAGTTGTCAGCTCTCTAAATCATTACCATATTAAGCTATTCAAAAATGTTACAAACATAAACTTTCTTAAATGTAACTCCTTTGATTTTTTGTAATGTTCCTTTTAGTAATTAAAAAGTTATTTAAAATATTAAAATGTGTTCATTTAATTTTGTTCTTATAGCCCAGTGCCTCGGATAAACTGGAGAAGAACAGATGGAAACCCCTTTCCAAGCAAAGTAATGTTAAGGAAGTCCAATGGGATGATTGAAATTCCCAATTTCCAACAAGAAGATGCTGGCCTCTATGAGTGCATTACTGAAAACTCAAGAGGAAAAAATATTGCAAGGGGACGCCTCACATATTATGGTAAGAAATTGCTTAACCAAAAAAGTATTATAAAACAAGGATCTTCCTACTGCATTCTAAGAAGGCAAATAAATCTCTACAAAGAGGTTGAATGTTGAGCAGGGCTTCTGTATCTTTAATGCACCAGGGCAGAAAGGCATAGTAAAATTTCCTGCCAGGTGGAATTATGCAATATCTCCTCCTATGTCCTCATCCCACCTTTTAGTTGATGCACCCCTCTCCCTCTACATTAATTTATTAGTTCTTGGAGAATGGCTGCAGGAGGGCAATGGAGCACCATCCAATTATGTTCCTCTACATAATTCTACACATTTAATTACCCTAAAATAGATCAATTTCCATGCTATCAGCCTTGAAAGATGGAATTTGGAACAGAGATATGACAGAGGGAAAGAAATAACACTGGCAACTGCCAGGGGAAGCAATTTGCAAGAAGAGGAAGAGGAGCTACTGGGAGGAACAATTTAATTACATGTATGAAACAAATAGATACCTAAAGGGAACTTCTCCTGAGTTCAATCATGCTTGTTACCAAGTTACTCTGCATAGGGTTGTAGCCTTCCCCAGCTGTTGTTTCATTCAAGGTTGAATCTTTTCATGGTATATTTTTAAAAGAAAAACATATGAAGAAGTCTGAGGGCTATTTCAGTTTTCACCTGGATTTATAGATTGGGGAAGTGGCCAGGAGCACATTGTGCCAGATTCAGCCGATTCTCAGATATATAGAATTCTGTATGAAGAAGTACATCAAACTAATAATTAACACTTCAACCGAATACTTGGCTATCTAAAGATGACATTTTACTCTTTTGATGTAAAGGTCATAGTTTCCCAATAGCAACACTTACTGTCTGTATTGTTTTGTGTCTGGGTTTTTTTTTCTTTGGTGTTGCTGTTTTTTCATTACTCCAGCAGTCTGGCTTCTATTGCAGGCTTTTGTGAATTTTGTGTGCATGTTGCCTTCTTTGCATTCTCTAAACATAATCATTGCTTTGAGGGAACTTAATATGAGAGAAGATACACTGTAATATAGCAAATAGATGCATAGCAGCAGAAGATCCTCTTGTGCATTTTAAAGTATATACCCTCGAATGCCAACGAAGCATATTTCTGCTTTCTTAATATCAAACTGTTTTGCAAGCTAAGTGGTAGTTGACAATTCTGTAGAAGATTACTCCCAACAAATGCAATTTTCCTTGTAAAGAAGTGTTTTCCAATTGGAAAAAGTTTACACAGCACCACCCAGGCAAACAAACAGATACAAACTTTTCATTACACATTTTTGTTCCATAATGCAGTGCTTCTCATCCTGTCTGATGTTGGGAGCCAGTGGTTTCTTCCTAAGGTATAAAGGACTAGTACCATTTTTGTACTAATTAGTTACAACTGGTTCTTACTTTCCTGGAAACTTTCTGTGGACTGTCAGCCAATGGTACTAGTCAGACTAGCAACAGTTCACAGACCTTCATTTTTAGTGGCACAGTTGTAAATAGTTTAGACCTACAGTGTGTTCAGAGTTCAAAAAGCTTAAAAAATGATAAGTGAATTCTTATTCAGAAATATGTCAACTGCAGGGGGATGAAAATTAGGCACAAATCTCTTATGCCAGCAGGTGTGCCCTTCTGCTACCAAACCCCATAGAGCAGTGGTTCCCAAACTGTGGTCCATGGATCACCAGTGGTCTGCAAGAATGAAAATATCGTCCACGGCCTTACCATTACTACACTGTTGCCTAAAATCCACATGGCAATGAGAGCAACTGGTCTTATGAAACCTTCTTATAGTGCTGAGGCAACAGGGGTGTTGGCAAGGGAGAGGCTGATTACCCATGAAAGATTACTACTACCACATCAGCTCTAGATTATTAAATATGGTTTTCTGTGGGTGAGCAAATGGAGATTACTGGATGGCATATGTTCTGTATCAGAAACTAGAGCTAATGTGATCTAAGGCAAATTTCTGAATCAGCACCCCAAATAACCAAACCAAATCTAAAGTTGATCAAAAATGGATTTGTAACCCTTTTGGTACTAATGTTGGAGAGTGGTCCCTGGTCAGGCTATTCCCTGATCAAACTATTCCCTGGTCAAGTGGTCCCTGGTCAAAAAAAGGTTGGGAACCATTGCCATAGAGAGTCACCTGCTAGCAGAATTGTTCTGCTGGCTAAAATCTTCTAGAAAAAGAGCTGAAAGGGATGAGTTGAGGAAGGAACAACATTAGATCATATCCGAAACCCTTTCAGGCCATGGCCACCATCAATGCACTGATACAAAATTACATCACCGTTATAATTCCCAACATTCTGTAAGAAGATTATTTGACTCTATCATAGTTTCCACTGGTTTTCTGTCATCTCAACTGATGACCTTCTTCATCACTTATGATTGTATTCTAAAACACACACATTTGAGATAAGAAATGAAAAAAAGTGTCCTCAACCTTGATTGACATTAAATGAATACAGTTAGATTATTTATATCCTCATTAACATAACCAGTTAGGAAATATATACAATTATATAAATACTTGCTTGACTCCTTCATTTCTCAGTTGAAGAAAGAGAAACTATGGTCTTTTCCTCCTTGACTGTGAGAGAATTAAAATTTAATAAAATAAAAGAGAGAATTATGAGAGTTTTTGAAGTTGTGAGAATGATATCTATGCAAATTGTTTAAATTCATGTTTTATTGTATTACTTCTGTCTTATTTCATTGACTTTACATATTCAATGGATGGATTATTTGGATTGTATTGATCAAGCAGTCCTTGTGTGCTTAGCCCATATAATGCTGCACTTCACAAAGAAAGAAAGAAAACACACACTGCATGGAGACATTTTGTGCAAATGACACTATCAGGGATTGATAAACTGTCACCAGGCTGCCTTGATGTGTTGAGATAGTTGTCTCATTAAGAACGAATTGTCTGTCTAAATTTCCTTAGTTGGGCCATAATGAAACTTGAGTTTCTATTCTTTGCTAATTTCATTCTCATAGGAAGCACAGAGTATTTTAGCCTCTTCTTGCTGTAAGAAAATATTGAAAAACTGTGCCATTTTGAAAGTCTGCTTGAAGTTTGAGAATTATTCTATGCAAATCATATGGGATATTTTTGCACCACAAGTAATTTTTTTGCACACAGAATAGGGGTTTGTTTTACATAGAAAATGCCATTTTGTATACAAATTACAATGCTGCTGTTATGAAGTGTGTACAATATTTGCAGATTCCCCGCAGCAGGAAACAGCATTTTCTGTCCAGAAAATAATATTTATGTGCAAAAAAGTGTGAATTTTGTAATAAGTCTAAAACATTACATTATCATCAGTGTTTTCTGATACTCGAGAAACAGTTCTTTGTCATTATTTTAATATTTTTAATTCCATTCTGAAATGAAACTGAGTCCCAAGAAAGATTTTAAAAACATGCGTGCACACACATACATCTATAGCTTGATACTGTGCTGTGTGGTGCTTGTTGTCTAAAATTGCGTGATTTAGATGCCCAGTGTGATTTTTCATTTATAAAATAAATAATAGACTCCCCATGAACTGGCTAAGACTATACTAACACATATGCACAAATAAATCACTCCAAGAAAGCTTATTTCTATATATACAGTTTGGTGGATGCAAATTGTCATAGTTTAGGATGCTAAATCAATCTCCTTATTGATATGCCAGACATATAGCTTTCTCATATGTTAAAGTAATGCTGAGTTTATCTCACTGGCCCTCCTCTTTAATCCATATGAGAGGATTAGCCAGTTTTATTTAATCTTTTACTGCTTTGACATTTGCTTGGGTGATGCATTAGAATACTAACCTGTTTATAGTCAGAAAATGCATACTTATAATAAGGTTTCCCCATCTCTCTGCATCCTGGGAGATTTTTTAAATACTTTCCCATAATTGAGGATATTGCCTTATGAATTAAAATATTAACTTGTCATACTGTAAGGTATCTCAGCTTAGAAATCTTTTCAGTAAGCTCAAACATTTGCAAATTCATCTTCCAGCATAATGGTAGTTCTAACTTTTCTGAACTTTTGGTTAGAAGTTATTACAGGAAGTAAGATTAGTCATATTTAAAGGTCTTCAGATGCCAGATGTATTCTACAATTCACTAAATCATTGACACTGGTTTGTGTTCTTTGTTCTTCAGTGATAATATTTTCCTGTGATCAAACAAAGTTAACAAAATCGAAAATGTTACAATATAAGCTTGAAATGTTTTCAGTGATGGCACAGATCTCAGTAGTGCATATTCTAAACGGTTGTTGTTGTTGTTTATTCATTCAGTCACTTCCAACTTTTCATGACCTCATGGACCAGCCCATGCCAGAGCTTCCTTGTTGGCCATGGCCACCCCCAGCTCCTTCAAAGTCAAACTAATCAGTTCAAGGATACCATCCATCCATCTTGCCTTTGGTCTGCCCCATTTCCCTTTTCCTTCCATTTTCCCCAGAATCATTGTCTTCTCCAAGCTTTCCTGTCTTCTCATTATGTGGCTAAAGTACTTCATCTTTGCCCCTAATATCCTTCTCTCCAGTGAGCAGTTGGCCTTTATTACCTGGAGTATGGACTGGTTGGATCTTCTTGCGATCTCAGAATTTTCCTCCAGCACCACAGTTAAAAAATGTCTATCTTCCTTCGCTCAGCCTTCCTTATGGCCCATCTCTCACATCCTTATGGTCCAGCTCTCATATCTTGAATTCCACAGTTTGATTCTTTATGGTCCAGCTCTCATATCCTAAATTCCGCAGTCTTATTATACTAACCACATCCTTGATTGAAACAAATTTAAAAGATGCTTAAATCTTCCAGTGCAGTGATATCCGTTAGTACAAAGAAAATTAAAATCCTGCATAAATAGATGCATCTAAAATGCATCAGGGAATAGATGTAGAGCTTTCAACCACCAGGCCACTATATTTTGGAGTACTAATTGGTGAAAAACTATGAATATATACACACATATATCATTGTTCCAATCACTATG